AAGTGCCCATTTAAGAAGATGTGGGGTGTGTGTGTGTGAGTATATATATACATATATACACAATAGAATATTATCTAGCCATAAAAATGAATGAAATACTGCCATTTGCAGCAATGTAAATAGACGTAGAGAATATTATACTAAGTGCAGTAAGTCATAAAGAGAGATACTATATAATACCAGTTATATGTGGAATCTAAAAAAATAATACAAATGAATCTATCTACAAAACAGAAAGAGACTCTCAGACATAGAAAACAAACTTATGGTTACCAAAGGGGAAAGCAGAGGTGAGGAGGGATAAATTAGAAGTATGGAATTAAAGCTACCAACTAACAGACATAACATAGATAAGCAACTAATATTTATAATACAGGGAACTATATTCAATATCTTATAATAACCTATAATGGAAAATAATCTGAAAATACATATTTTTTCAGATTATTGAATCACTTTTCTGTACACCTGAAACTAACATAATATTGTATATCAACCATACTTCAATGAAAAAGTAAAAATAAACAAAATTTTTAAAAATGCATGCATCTGTGCACTATTGTTTGTAATAGCCAAAAACAAAACAAACAAAAAAAACCACCAACCGCCACCAAAATTCCAAACAGAGAGACGATCCAACACAAATATATCAAGACCAGAACAATAAATTGTGGTGTGTTTGTACAATGGAATTATATACAGCAATGAAAATAAACTAGTGATACGCAATAACATCAATGAACAAAAGGAGCCAAATATGAAAGTGTATATGCTGTCAACTTTTTCTATGTGTGTGTGTGTGTGTGTGTGTGTGTGTATATATATATATATGTCGAAAAACACACTAAACTAATCTATAATGTTAGAAATCCATACACTGGTTACCTGTGGGGACAAGATGGTTAGGGATTAACAAGGGACACAAGGTGGGCTTCCAGGATATTAATAATGTTCTGGTTCTTATCTATGAGGCAGTAAGGAACACCCTTATGATTTGTGCATTTTTTTGTCTGTACTACTTGTAAAAAATGAAAAAACAGAATACTTTTAATAAAATTGAAGGCAATGTTACATTAAATTTAGGTAATGAGTATACAGTTATTTGTACCACTACTTCTTGTAAGTCTTCCATTTGAAAATTATTAATAAAAAGTCAAAATAAAATAAAATTAGGATACGGCAGGAGGGAAGAGAAGAGGACAACTCTTGATAACCCACGTGTGCTCAGAGGGATGTTTAACTACAAAAAGCTGGATAACATTGTCTAGCTCATTCTTCCTAAAACAGAAAGGGTTGGAAACAAACCCACTAATACTATAACCTTTGCCTCAAAAAATTCTACAATCACTACTGCTATCATATTACACAAAGGTATATCTTGGATCAAACATTATTTAGTCAAATTAAAGGGCAAAGTTTTTCAGAGCCTTCAGCAGCTACCTAGAAAAAAAAGATGGTCTTTAATCTCGTTATTTTAACCTATTAACATGGTATTTACTATGAAATACTTGCCCTGAGGGCCTTCCAAACTTTGTTTCTGTTTTGTTAATTTCCAGCCATTAGATAATTAGTCGAGCTGATAAAGAGTAAGTTAAACATTACTGTGTCAATCTAAATATCTGGGATATTAGAAATTAGCAGGTGACAATTTACCATGTAATTATTCTAACTTTAAAACTTTCATTGTGCTTTTTAAACACTGTTAGGAAACAACAGAGAAAAACTTACCTTTCCAACAAAGGGAACTAGATGATGTTCACACATGGAAAACATATCTATGTCCTTCACAATCACCATCTCATCATGATCTTCATCAAATATAGCGTCGTTTAGGACATCTGAAATTAGAGGCTTGCTTTAGTAACATTTCCAATTTTTTAGAAAGATAAAGAATAGAAAAGCTAACACTCTCTGTAGGTACATATATAAATTGACAGTCAACATAAGGATGTTAATCCTAAATGAAATATTAATGGCATGCAAATTAAAACTATTTTTCTCCCACCAAATGAACAGAGTCTTTTTCTTCAAATGATGGAAAAAATCCTTATGATACAATATTACATTTTAAAACTGCAGGATTACTAATGTAGTCACAGCATAGGAGGAGAGAGGAAAGGAGATAAATTATGCAAAACAAAAGAGTAGGTATTTCTGGTGCTAGAAATGGATCAGCTTTCACTTTCTTCCTTACATTTGCTTGTACCTAACATTTTCTCTATAACAGCTATGTAGAAAAACATATCCGAGAAAAAAACGAAGCCTTGGCTCTCTGACTTCTGAAGCTAGATCCAGATGCCCATAAACTTGACCTCTGCTACCAATCTCCCAAGTAATTTTGCGACTCTTGCAAATTTTTCTAGTTATTATATGTAAGCATTAGCCTTATTCTAAACAGTTGCCTTCCTCCCTCCCTGTGAAATAAATACTACAGCTTTTATGTGTGTGCCTGACCAGACTGGCTTTGGGTGATGAAGTGTCTTGTTTAACCTGTGGACTCTGTCATATACAGACAGACATATAATAGACATTGAGAAACAAACTATTTTTAAAAACTGCACTGATACCCGAACTTGGCAGGCTAGATACATTCAAGTCACCTCGCTGTGTGATTTCAAGGATTTGGGGATACCCCATCTACAAAGCATGGTGAGACAGGGAAGGGAGGAGATGAATACACTTTTGTAGCCACCTACTGCTGTTTCCTCTCAGAATGGAAGGCTGCTGAGTGAGTCACAGGAAGATGTGCAAACGTCTACCCACACAGCCTGCCCTTCGGTGGCTCACTCTGCTGCTACCAGAATAGATGCTCACAGATACTGAGTCATCATTTAACCACAGTTATCATCTCCTGAGTCAGGCTACTCAGAGACACATCTGACTGTGTAGTAGAGAAGTCAGCAGTGTGGTAAACAAAAATGAACGTCTGGGATTTAGACATACAGGTAAACACGACGCCCCTGTTAAAAGAGGCTGAAAAAATCCAGAGAGAAAGCTCAGAGCTTTTCTTTAAGTAAATGCTCCTTTTCCAAAAGCAGTTTTCTATTCTGAATACTCTGCCCTAACCTTCAGTTGTATTTCTGAAAGAAGTCCAAAAATAGATCCTTAGTGCTCCCCCAAGTATCCTGGAGTTCTATAAGAACATAACTTACTAAAGTCTTTAGTCACACAAAGAATCTTCCTAAAAGCAAAAACAAACGAAAAATTATTTCTTAAGAAAGAACAAAAAAGAATTGTCAAATACAGGAAGCATTCATTTGTTTTCTCTGACAAAGAATGAGAGCATCTCCACTCTATGCTCTGACAACAACCATAAGGCATGTATTAAATGCTGGCCCTCAAGTGAGGCTTATGTTAGCATCTGGCTCCATCACTAACTATTGTACCTTGGGCCAGGTACTCTGTGCCTCAGTCATTTCAGCGGTGAAAAGGGCATGAAAAAAGTGCTTACTACACAGTGGTATCCTGAGGATTAAATGAGGTAATCCACCTGTGTTTAGAAATATGCAGGTAGAGTAAGCAGTAAATGAAATCATTACTATTACTATAATTAGGAGAGTTGCTAATCTGTGTCCCATGCACATTGATGTACATCAGAATTTAAAAAGCAATAATCTGCTTCTAAGAGACAGACTACAGAAAAAGAAAAGTAGCAACTTTACTATGGAGAAACCTGGCAGACACTACTTCAACCAAGTGATTAAAGCTAATCTTACCAATAATAAGACATATTGATATCACGTAACTTCTAATATAAGACTAGGAGAAGGGCACATCACCTCTGTGGTATTCTTCCCCCAAATCTGTAAGTGCAGTCTAACCACAAAACAAAGTGAGGGATATTCTACAAGATACCTAAACAAGTACTATTTTTTAAAGACATGGAATGACTGAGGAACTATTACAGGAGAAGAGACTGAAACATGACAACTAAATACAGTGGGAAAACTAAAGTCCAAATAAAGCCTTGAGTTAACAGTACTGACCAACATTAATCTCTTAAGTACTGATGATTGCACCATAGCCAAGTGAGGAAGCTGCATAGAGAGTATACAGAAATCCTCTACTACCTTTGTCGTTATTCTGCAAGTCTAAAACTATTTCAAAACTTAAAAAGTTTAAAAAATATGTAACAGTGTCCATCAACTGGAATGTACAAGCAGTGGAGCACTTACTCAAGCAAGATGGAATAAATACTGATACTTATACTAACATGGTTCAGTCTCTGAAGAATTATACTAAGTGAAAGAAGTCACATACACACACAAAAAAAAAACTACGTGAGATTCTAGGAAAATCATGCATAGTGATAGAAAGCAGACAGATGGTCTACCAGAGATCAGAGAGGTAGGAGAGAGAATTGGCTGCAAAAAGATATGAAGAAACTTTTTTGGATGATGGAAATAGTCTAGACCTTTGCTGTACTGGTGGCTACGCAAACTGTATGAATTTGTCAAAATTCAACATGTACAGTTTGTGAATTTTATTGAATTTAAGTTACACTTTAATAGAGATAACCTTAAAACATTTTAAATTGGTGTATTACACAACCTTTTGTGTCAAAGTCAAAAGGAGGAGATATCAGTGTACATATACAATATCTTCAAAAGGAATCACTAGAAGAATAAGTCAAAAAGCACGTAAAAATGATTACCCATAAAGGACTAAGAGAACAAGAAAGGATATGGATGGAAGTGAGACATCTTTGAATAAAATGTGTTATATAATTCAGACTTGGAAATCATGCGAATGTTTTACATATTCAAAACTCAACCAAAGAAAAAAGCGAGTGACCTCCATATGTCATGGAGTTTCGTGTGGTAATGGCACACTGATACATTGCCTATATCCCATTTCATTAAAATGGACCCAGACTATAAGCTTGACGCAGCCAAACCATTTTTCTTCAATAATGAAGTCTCCTTGTTACATTTATTTATGTTTTGCTCCAACATATCTGAAAGCTACCATCTGTGGCTAATAAGAACAAAACACTATCACAGATTGTTTTAATTTCCTGCCTGTTATCAGCAGCAAGGAGGTAACCCTGGAAACAAGGATTTATGGCGTTCTATTTCCTACTGTTGGTCATAACCAAAGGAAACCAAAGCCGCCTCCAAAAGTTAAAGGCCTATCTATAACAATGCCACACACGAGAAATATAAAAGTATACCTTTCTCGTGTCATTAATGATTAAGCAGTGACAACAAATAACCCTGCTAAGAAGCCATCCCTCAAGTATTTTGTCCCTTCTGGAAAGTGCAGTAAGGCAGGCCTGCAATATGACCCGAAGTACCTGTTTAAACACCCTCTGAGGCAGGAGTTGACTCCTCCAATGGGCTTGTTAAAGACACAAATCACTGGACCCCATCCACACAGCCTCTGATTTAGAGAGCCTGGGTGAAAATGAGAATTTGCGTTTCTAACAAGATCCCAGAAGCCACTAATGCTCTGGTCTGGGAACCACACTTTGAGAGCCTCTGTTCTGAGATATTCCATTCTGTGCTGCTACATAAAATCTTTATATGTTCAAAATGCTCCTACTCACACATCATAGGAACACAGACCTGTTTTTGCTCAGGTAAAAGGTTGGAGCGGGAGTGGTAAAAGGAAACTCCTAGGAGAGGTTCCCTACAAAAGGAAAATTGTATCTAATGAAGTTTCTTTTGCAAGAGTGATAATAGTAATTAGCACTATGCTGGATGTCTTGTGATCAGCACCAAAAATTAGAGATCTCTGAGGAAGTCAGAATTGCACAACTGAAGCATCTTTCTGGAGGACAGCATTAAAAGATAATGGAAGAAGACCTGGAACACTGAACATGTGTCTATCCTAAGGGACAGGAAAGAGAACTGGGGTCTGCCTACTGGTTTTAGAATTAAGAGAGAACAAGAGGCAGAGAGTGAGACCTAAAAAAGGCATTAAATCTTTTTGCTCTTGGCTGGAATTAAATCAACTCAAGGGGTTAATTAAGATAAGCCCACCTGATTTAATGGAGAAAGATCTGAATCACCGTCCCAAATCTTCTAACATCAGAGCTGCCCTGACTAGCATACAATACTTACTTCACTGCACCTTCTGGTACCACTGCTACATGTAGTAATTCCTCCCAACCTTGAGGCAAGTGTTATAGCTTAAGCTTTGGGGTTTCCACACAGTACCCTCTATGCCATGCACACAGAGTTAAACAGAGATCTTCCATTTTATCCAATTAATATGTCAGTCTTCACTCTGATTTACTTTCTTAAAATAGAAGAGACTCCAAAGAAACTCACGTGGCAAAGGAAACATAAGAATTCTTAACTGCAGCATTATCAGTAATACCAAATATTAGTAGTTTAAATGTGCATCAGAAGAACAATTACACCATTTAGATAGTCATGCAATAAAATAGGACCCAGCAGTGAAAGTGAGTGTGTCTGAGCTACATTTATAATTTCCCAGAACAATATCCAATGAAAAAAGCAAGTATCAGAAGCAGAAGATATGTACAGTGATGAAAGAAAAATTCATATTTTAAGGCCAGATAAGAAAAGTTTAAACTCAGGGGGGCAGAGGGTGGGAAGGGATAGACTGGGATTTCAAAATTGTAGAATAGATAAACAAGATTACACTGTCTAGCACAGGGAAATAGACACAAAATGTTATGATAAATCACAGAGAAAAAAATGTGACAATGAGTGTGTAGATGTCCATGAATGACTGAAAAATTGTGCTGAACACTGGAATTTGACACAACATTGTAAAATGATTATAAATCAATAAAAAATGTTTAAAAAAAAGAAATCAAAAAAAAAAGAAAAGAAAAAAAAAGTTTGAACATAAATTTTTCTCTGTC